TCGGTGCTAACCACTGAGCCGTCGTGCCGCCAAATGAGTTGACCTTCATAAAAATCTTTCAAACTGTGACAAATTAAAGACTTCAGGCTATACATCAAATTTTAAATTGTATTGATACATAAATAAATAACAGAACCTTTTTTTTAATGTTCATCATATTTGAAGCAGAGAGAAGCACCGAGCGGACACTGCATGGTGGCATTAATCGTATTAATCATCAAATGCCAAAAAATAATCGATTGTTTTTCCGACGATTAATTGCACACGATACGATTATGCCCAACCCTATGAGGAAGATATACTTTGGTAACACTTGTACAAAAAAGGAAATACTTAATCTTTTAACACATTAGCATTAAAGTGTCAAAGATCAGTAGCAGAAACGATGCAAACATCCATGTCTAATTCAAATAAAAAGAAAACACACATGGACTGGGGGTGGGGGTGCTTCTTTTATAGAAGAACTGTCTGGTAGTGGTCAACTGCAAGACTATGGGCGGTTACATTCTTGCTCCCTTGAAATCAGTTTTGTTGTTTCTCAGGAAACAATGAGGGTTATCAAGATTTTGGATCCAGAGGAGGGTGGAACTCCGGTGAGCAGGGCATCTCTGATGTCACCAATACAATAGCGGGCTTCCCAACGCACTGTGGCGTATGGATTCATATGATAATCTGAAGCATTGCAATTRTTGGTTSCAATGATGTAGTTGTCTCAWAATGCCAATGGAAGCATRTTACAYTAACAGAGASCCAAAAGTAATTGACTACTTCATAAACACAGAGACACATACTGGATGTCTACAGCAGGTTCCAGCTGACCATGGTACAGAAAATGGACATGTCATGTAATATCAAGACATTTATTCTTATGATTTAAAAAAATAATCTCTTACTCTGGCCTTAATACTCCGTCGTATACAGTAAATGCATTTCTTCAAGGACTGTTAAGCATGACGTTTTTTCTTGTTTGCATTCACTAGTATGAGCTGCGTCGTTTTGCCGTTCAATGAAGTCTGTAAAGATTGTGCAGCCATGTGAGCACAAACCAAAACCATTCCTTTTGACTGCCTAATAGATTTCAAGCAAATGGTGGGTTGCCATAGCAAATGTCACTATAGCGAAAGCCTCRGATGCTGCGTTTAGCCATTTCCAACGCTGAGCATGTCATTGCTTGCTTCGCTTGCTTCCTCTTTCTTTTTGTTTGCCTTTGTCTCTGATTTTGTTTTAATGGAGCAAGTGTGTCCAAAAATTGTGATTGTTTAGGCAGAATAAACTATGTTATAATGTTTCGTCGATGCATAGTCTGCTCCTAGTCTGTCGCTTTCATGATTTCCTACAGTGCAGGTCGCACCCGAACACGTTGTGTGTAGCAAATACAGACCATTAGCTCTCCCTCCAAAAGCCGTGATAGGGACATCATTAGTAGCCTCATGAAGACACTTTGAAGATTTGGTTGCTCTGAGCAGCAAATGCGGTTTCCATTTCTCTGATCTCGCAGCCATGGCTGATTGAAGAGGACAATACGCCACTGTTCAGCTGAACCACTGCCACTATAGATGCAGATAAGGAGCAAAAAAAAAAAAAGACTTTTTCTTTTTATAGAAGCCTGAGTCTCCAATAATATCTAGCTTTACCATGCGCGCCTCAGGGTCAAACTGTGGGAGACGTGGAGCCGTCTACACGTAGAAACTGTGGGAAAGCGTTTTGTCGTTACAAGAAGAGGGAAAATTGGAACATGAGATACAAAATAACCAGCAGCCATGAATGCAGACATGTCAAATACTCCTCTCGCTCTCTCTCGCTCGCTCTGACGCACAGACACATGCCAGACTGTTGGTCATTTTAGGGTGATGCTTTTTCATGTGAATGTGCCCAATAGTGAAAGATACAGCTTAAACAATACTTTTAAAGCTATGCCAGTGATGAAACAGGATATTATTTTTACCTAGAAAATACTCACACTTTGACTTTATGTGTCTTTTTATTGCAGGATTCTACCACTGTGACCCCTGTGACACTTACAGTTGACCCCAAAGGCTACTTCCTGTATTGGACGGACCAGAACAAGGTAAGCCACCACACTAATAACACCAAGGTTGGACTTCTACAGCTTGGCTGATAAAAACTCATCAAAAGGCAGGAAAATTGTGTTTTTTTAATTATATTTTTCTTTTTATTAAGAGCTTTTGCAGCAACAGTAGATGTTACCTTCAGCCCTGTTTTGAAATGTTCAAACATTCCCATTACTTTTCTAACCTTGTTGTTTTTCTTGGTGCTACTCCGTCTAAAGTCTTTTTGTGAGCAGGGAAAGATGTTAAAATAAGGATCTAATATTTTACCAATCAGATTTACAAGTGCCAAACTCAAAAGAATAGACTGTTATGTTGTTTACCAAGTGGAAGTCTGAACTGTTTCTTCATCCTATTTCGTTCAATGTGAATCAGAGCAGACGTCACAAAAAAGCCAGAGAACAGATTAAACAAAAACAAAAAAAAAACAAAAATACAAACCTTGGTGTTTTCAAATGCAGTTTGACCATTCCTTGCAATTCAGGTCAGTTGTCAGCAAACTGATTTTTACATTGTTGTGTGTGTGTGTGTGTGTGTGTGTG